GAGGTGCAGCAGCAGGAGGACGAGGAGGAGGAGGAGGCCCGCCCCTCCTCACTCCTCGCCCCCCCCTGGGGCTCGCCGCCGATCCGAGCCCCTCGGGCCAGGGGCGCCGCGAGAGCAGCGCCCTCGACGGGCGCCCATGGCCTCGGGCCGGGCCCCCTCGCGGCTCGGGGCCAGCGCGGGGAGCTGCCCCCCGCGGTTGGGCGCCCGAGTTATCCGGGCTAACTCGGGCCCGGGGCAACTCGGGTTTGGATTCCCGACAGACGAACCCGAGTTAGCCCTGACCCGAGTTACCCCTGATGATTCGGGGCTCTGGGCGCCCGAGTTATCCGGGCTAGCTCGGGCCCGGGGCAACTCGGGCTCGGCTTCCCGACAGACGAACCCGAGTTAGCCCTGACCCGAGTTACCCCTGATGATTCGGTGCTCTGGGCGCGGAGAGGCCTGGGCGTCCAGAGGGCGCTCGATGGCGCTCGATCGGCGCCGCGCCCTCGGCACGACGCGCCGGCGCTGGAGGCGCCGCCAGGGGGGCCCCAGCGCAGAGCCAAGAAATCCGCGCGGACCGCCCAGAGCTCGTGTCTGCGCCGTCTTTTCTCCGTCGACTGAGGTCTTGGCGCTGCAGCTTTGGCACCACGGGCGCTCTCGCTCGGCGTCGGGCCGCCCGGGACCCCGGCAGATCGATCCGAGTTTCGCGAGATGGCGCAGAGAGAGCTGGGTCCAGGGCTCCGGTGGTGATTTGTTGTGCGGTGTTGCGTCTGTTGCTGCAGCGTGAGATCTGCGGGGGGGCGCATCCCCAACCTCCGACGTTCCTGTCAGGGCCCCTGTGCGGTCCCAGAGCACCCTTCGCTCACCGTGGCCGATGCTACAGCGAGCTCCGCGCGGAAGGGTGCAGGGTGCAGAGGGGGATGAGGCGGAGGAGACCATCTGTTTTCGGGCTCGTTCAACTCTGTCTGATCATTGGTAACGAGCCAGTGCCAAGCGGTGCACAACAGGGAACAAGACCACGAAAATTATTCGCGGGAAGCTCCATTACCATACGTGGAGCCTACTAAATCTGCGCCAGCTTGGGTCAGAGAGCGCATCTCTTGAACAGACGCTACTGTAATATAGACTAGGAGGCCGGAAGAGCACACATACACAAGCTAGAACAATTGCGCGCTTCGTGCGTGCTCAACACACACACAAGTTTGGGATATTGGAGCCTACCGCATAGTTCGCCAGAGGGGCCGGCCGCCCGCCCGCGCGGCCCTCGCCGCCCCCTCCGCGTGCCAGGCCACCAGCACCGACGCCTCTGGAGGGGCCCTGGGACACACAACAGATACACACAAATTACAAGATTCTCCATATTCTCCCATACTTTCTGGGCTTTTGCCCCCCCCCCCCCCCACACACTTCCAATATTTTCCCGTATTTTCTGGGGAATCGACGATGACTTGTGTCTGTGTTTTTTGTTTCCCTTCTGAGCCTCCAGGAGCAGGAAGTGGGCCAGCTCGTCGGACCGCCGGACAGCAGCGCCGTCGCCATTCCCCGCCGACGCCGCGCCCACGTCAGCTTGTTTATCTGCTGCAGCAGAAGCTCACGCTCAAACGATTCAAGATTCTCTTTCTGTCTCTTGACACATCGTCTCTCTTCTTTTTTCTTTTCCAAACCCACCAATTAAATAAAAATAAAAAAGAAGGAAAGAGAATGGTGGGTTTGTGGAAAAGAAAAGAAGAGAGCGATTAATGGTCAAGAGACAATGGCCAGCTAACATCTTGGATCTTCCTCTGGAAACCGCCTGCTGGACGAAGGTCTCCAGCGCCCACGTCGGCCAGGCCGACGCAGCGTCCGGCATCCTTCAGGAGGACGTAAGACCTGGGTACAGGGGACTCGGAGATCCCCGACGAGATCGTCAACAAAAATGACGAGGCCGAGCCTGCATTTTGACGAGGCCTCCCGCTGCAGACATCCCACGAAACTCCTCCTCGTCAAAATCCGAGGCGCGGTCGTCAAAAAACGATGGCGAACCCGAGTCCTGGCCTGGCGAAATTAGATTTCGATGTGGCGAAATTCTCCAGGACGACGGGGCCATCAATCCAGTACGTTGTTTTTTTGGGGGGCCGCGTGGTGCCCCACGCTCGGGCGGCCATCCGCGCGCGCGCCCCTTTTCCCTTTTTTCGAAATGGCTTGCATTGCGCGCGGAGCGCGCGAAAGTCCACGAGTATGTTGGGGGGATGCCGAGGCCAGGCCGACGCAGCGTCCGGCATCCTCTGCGGATGGCACGGGGCCTGCCGCCCCCGGCCCTCTTGGGTACACTGCCTGCTGCCTCCGCGGCCAGAACCGATCACCCGGCCGGCCCCTCAGCCAGACTGGCTGCGGCGGAAGAGGGGCAGGAGGAGGAGAACAGGAGGGGAGGAGCAGGAGGGGCAGGAGGGGAGAACAGGAGGGGCAGGAGGGGCAGGAGAAGGGGGAGGAGCAGGAGGAGCAGGAGGGGCAGGAGCAGGAGGGGCAGGAGGGGCAGGAGAAGGGGGAGGAGGAGGAGCAGGAGGGGAGAACAGCTTTGGATCGCCCACGTCACACCGTCCTGCAATTCGCAGGCCCATCGGGCAAGCGGCGTTTGAGCTGGGCAAGCACTGAAACGGAAAGGGCGACGCAGGAACTTCGCCCCCCAAAAAAGATGGCACCGTCTGTTCTTGGGAAACTTTGTTTTAAGAGCCGCTTCCATCGTTCGCGCCAGCCGCCTTAGCGTTCATTTGTTTTACATGACCGCTTGCTCTTGGGCCTTGGCGCTCAAATCTCATCAGCTGACCGCTCGCTCTTGGGGGCTTTGCCGGCAACAACTTGTGACGCCACTGGGAGCTCTTGGGAGCCCTGGCGCTGGACGCTTCGGAAATCATTGGGGCCTCTTGGGGTGGACGCCTTGGCGTTCCAAGCCTTTTACGTCACCGGCTCGCCTGAATGTGGTTTCCCGTTCCCCGCGGCTCTTGGGAGCCTTGGCGGCGTCAAAGCTGTGTCCGTCACTGGGCCGTCGTTGGGCCCTCCTGGGGGCTCTCGAAAGGCTCTTGAAGGAAACTGGGGGCCTCTTGGGGCGTTTTGGGGGCTGTCCTGGGGGCCTCCTGAAGGTCTCTGGGACCATCGCCTCTCCAGGACCATCGTGGGGCCTCTGGGGCAATCTTGGGGCCCTCCTGTCCCGTCTTGGGGGACTCTGGGGCAATACAGTGGGGGCCCGACCACGAGAAACCCAACCCTGAGACCCCAAGACGTCTACTGATTTTTGGCGTGGGAACCTCACGCCTTCCATTGCGAAGCCATCGAAACTCAAGAAACCCAGGGCACCCTGGAGGCAAGCAGGGTGTTTCTTGGCATGGGTCTCCACTGTAGTGGGTGCCTGTTGGGCCGTCAGGGGCCCCGCCTCGGACTTGGACGCCCCTCTTGCGGCGATCTCGGCAGCCCCTACAGAGCCGCCTTGGGCGGTCGGCCGTCTGCCAAACGACAGCGCTACAAACCAGCAGAAGTACAAGAAACTACCCATGATGGGCCTGTTATCCACCACCACCATCAGTTGGATGTGGGGAAGGAGGAGGAGGAGGAGGAGGAGGAGGAGGAGGAGGAGGAGGGAGGAGGAGGAGGAGGAGGAGGAGGAGGAGACGAGGAGGACGAGGAGGAGGACGAAGAGGAGGAGGAAGGAGGAGGAGGAGGAGGAGGAGGAGGAGGAGGAGGAGGAGGAGGAGGAGGAGGAGGAGGAGGAGAAGGACCCCCTTACCCTCCAACTTATGGAAGTGGTGGTGGTGGTGGTGGAAAACAGGCCCATCTAAGAAACTACCCACACCGATGACCCCAAATATGCTCGCTCTGCGGAAGCCACGGCGCCTATGGCGCATCTGGCCCACACAGGCCGCCGAGGCCGAGCGCGTCTTCGGGGGCGCCACCCTCGCTGTGAATGTGGCCACGTTTGGAGGGCCAGAACGCCGGAGCCGCAGCTGGCCCACAGAGCCGGCAGAGGCTCGCGGCCCGTCCTCGGGGGCGCCATCCTCGACGCGAAGGCCGCCACTGTTCGGAGGCCAGGGCCAGAGCAGAACAGCTGGCCTGCAGAGCCGGCCGAGGGCTCCGGGCCCGCTTTCAGGGGCGGCATCCTCGCCGCGACGGTCGCCACGTTTTGAAAACCAGGGTGCCCGAACCACAGCTGGCCTACAGAGACGGCAGAGGCCGGCCGCCCGTCTTCAGGGGGCGCGATCCTCGTCGCGAAGGTCCTCAACAACAACAACCACATCGGCAAATCCGGCAGATGCCCCGAGAGCGCAATCCTTTTGACTGGGTGCGAACCAATTATGCTGAAACCTGTTTAAGGAAACCCATCATTCGTTGCATCGCCGGGCCTTCTTGAAGCTCCTCTTGGACCCCCTATCGGGCCGTCATGGTACTGAGGCCATTTGGGCCCTCTTGGTGCGCTCTTCGACTGTGTAGGGACCTTCTTAGACCTCACTTCTCTCTTGGGCTGACTGCGGGGTACGTATCTGGCACCATCTTGGTGTTGCCGTCTTGGGGCCCTTCTGGTGAACCCTTGAGCTGTCTTGGGGCAACCTGGGAAGCTGCCTTGGAATGGGCGGTCGGACGTCTGAACAAAATAACAGAACGCCGAACACCTTCAAACAATGTGTTGCCTTTTGGGGCCACCTTGCGGGTCCCCTTGGAGCCCTACTGGCCCGTATTGGGGGCACCGACAGCAGCAGTGACCATGAGCATCGCAACGTTCTTCACGATGAGAAAGACACTGAAACGACAACGCCCAACAACCATACAGAGAATTCAACAATGGTGGAACAAGCACAAACAAACTATCCTCGCAATGGCGTTTGCAATGGCCTTTGGTAACCGTAATGCCCTATCGATTCGAACTGCCATGATCTCTTACACCTGCTTGTAAGATGGCAACCGTGAAACATGGATGACAACACAGGACTATTGAAGACTGCTGTTGCGCTGATGATTGCTGCCGTGAAAATGATCTTGATTACATGGTCGGGTCACTCATCGGACTGAATGGGTTGTAGGAGCCGGCCTTCTTTCGCTGCCTTCTGCATCTCGTGCCGCTCGCCCACGGCATCCGCGATTTCCTTTTGACGCTGCTCCGTTCCATTGCCATGGCCTTCCAAGAACTGATCGTATGCGAACCGCTTCATCTTCCACTGGTCGACAAGCATGATGACCCGCAACGTGAAGAGCACCGCCAAGACGATCTCCAAGGCACGAGGGATGTGCGCTTGTGAACAACGGTGGGTCGCTTCGACGCACGCATCAACAGAACGCAAAACAGGATATCTGCCTACGATATACTCAAGAGGAATATAGAAACAAAGCGTGAGGATCAAAGAGGCGCTGGAGTACACATCCCAACACGACAGCGACACCTCCTCGCTGCGCTCCTCGATGTCCCAATCACGTTTGGCCTGCTTCATGACTGAAAGAGGCTTCTGGTCTAACAAATACCAGAATTGGTGGATTAAGGCAGGTGCCACCACAGAGCCCGACGTGTAATACGCTAAGGCTACGTGCAGAAACTGCGGGACCATTCGTACACCAACTGGAGCACTGGTGACAATGCCATGGGCTAGGCCTGAAGCCAAAGGAACGGCCACTATGCCCACCCAAACTGGGGATCCGTATTTCAAGCAATTCTCGCAAATGAATACGTTCCAGAATATTTCATGGCTAGTGACGCTGACGAGATCTATGCAGAAGTCGAAGAGAGGGGCCTTCGCAAACGCTGGAGCCTTGACCTTGGCCTTGATCTTGGCCGCAAGTGTATTGCTGCTGGACGGCACTGGACTCAACTCCCTGACGAACATCTTTAAGACGTTGATCTCGCCATATAATGGGCCCGTCATCAAGCGGGCAATGCCTAAATCAAGCTGGAAATAAGCGAGTGTTGCAAGCACATGGAAACCGGTAGCTAGGTCGCACTGGATGGGCACGCAGAACACGCCCGACGCGATTCCCAGGACAACAAAGCATGGAATGATGATACACAGGGCTTGCCAAGCCTGGCTCGGGAGGTAGCTCGCGCCTCCGAAAACAATCCGACAAGGAACGAATACGATAATACAGGAGCTCAGCACTGCATATGGGCTCCAAAGCCAACACAATTGCATCTCACTGGCCTTATTCTTAAACTCGGGCCTGTTGTTCAGCGCGACTGCGGCCTTGGGCTGGGAGGGCGTGCGCCAAACTTAAGCCAAAAGCGTTTTGCAATACGACGACGGTATACATGTTTCAATAACGGCGATGACAATGATGACCGTAACTGTAGCGGTAATGTCACCAATACCGAGAAGGGAAAGTACACTGACAAAACCAATTCACTTACCACAATGATGACGACAATAATGACGACCAAGGTAATATCGAACCACCAGCGTGCTGCAAGGCGCACATTGGAATGTCCTCTGGCCTCTTCGAGGTCCCTACGTCGTCAACGCCCCGAATTCTGGATTTCGGAAACTCTGGGGCGCTTCCGGACGCTCCCGGGATCCCTGCGTGGCTTTTGCGGAAATGGACCCAACGGTCCATGCTGGAGCTCTCTTGGGGGCCTCTTGGACCGTCTTGGAGGCCTTGGGGCTCGGCACGAGAGGCCACACAACTGAAAAACAGCTGGCTCCTGACATTCTCGACTTTTCGGTCTTCAGAGCATCGGAGACGGCCCAAGAGGCCCCCAGGATCGCCCGAAGACGGCCCCCGCACATCAAAACACAACATGGTCACAGATTTCCTCCAAGACTGCCCAAGACGGCCCCGGGTGGCTTCCAAGATGTGTCCAGATGCCTCCAGGATGGGTCCACATGCCTCGAAGCTGGCGACGCCCGCCGAGTGCCCTCGGCCCGCAAACGAAGCATCGCACCGCCAAGTACCCTCCATGGGCGCCCGTGTCGTCTCACGGATGCCAGCTGCAGCCAGCATGGGGCGCGCTGGTGTCCTCCAGGGATCCCTCGAGAACCGTCGGGGAATAGAACAAGAAAACACGGCATACGACTAAACGTTTGGCGCTCCGCGCGGATCTCTGTGATCTGCCCTCGACCCCCCCTCCCTGGCGCGCGGAGCGCGCCAGGGGCGGCGTCGGGCCTCACCTCATGGGGGGACGATATCATAAGCGGGGGGGGGAGCGAAGAACGGTGTGCACCTTTCGGGCTCCGGGAGGCCCCTCCAGGGCCTCGAAGGTGCACGAGAGGTGCACTTGAGCCACGATCAAGAACGGGTCTTGCGCGAGGTGGCGTAGGCTTGCGCGCGGGCCGCCCGCGCGGCACGCTACACTGGAGACGGGGGCGCTTGCGCGCGACATTGCGCGGGCAGCCTGCGCGCCAGCGTCGGCGCAGACGACCCCGCTTTTCTGCGTCGCTCGCTTGTCTTCACCCCCCACCTTCTGGGAAAGCCGTTTCCTTCTCACTTCCTCCCTCGATCGCCGGGTGGTTTTCGGGCCATAACTCGGGCCTCCAGCGGCCGTTAGGACAATCCGGGCACCCCCGGAACGCTCTCGGCGAGGCGCAGCTGCTGGAGAGCATCCCGAGGCTGGAAAACCGCCGATCCCCGACGAGAGCGCCAGAACACCTCGGACCCCGGACCGCCCCGTCGGTTTCCACCACCACCACCATCAGTTGGATGGGGGGAGGAGGAGGAGGAGGAGGAGGAGGAGGAGGAGGAGGCTGAGGAGGAGGAGGAGGAGGAGGAGGAGGAGGAGGAGGACGAAGAGGAGGAGGAGGAGGACGACGAAGAGGAGGAGGACAAGGCGGAGGAGGAGGAGGATGATGATGAGGAGGAGGAGGAGGAGGAGGAGGAGGAGGAGGAGAAGGACCCCCTCACCCTCCAACTTCTGGTGGTGGAAGACCCGTGGATCGCCCCCCCCCCCCCCCCCCCCGTGCAGCGCCCGGCGCCGGAGCGACGCGTGGCCTCGCGGGGCCCCGCGCGGCGCCGCCCCAAGGGGGGGGGGGGAGGAGCCTCGAGGCGCTCCTCCCCGCTCTCGGCTCTCGCGGCCCGGGCCCGCAGGTCCCCCACCTCGGCCGCGGTGGCGTCGTCGTCGTCGTCGTCGTCGTCGTCGTCGTCGTCGTCGTCGTCGTCGTCGTCGTCGTCGTCGTCGTCGTCGTCGTCATCTTCGTCGTCGTCCGTCGTCCGTCGTCCGTCATCGTCGTCGTCGTCGTCGTCCGTCCTCGTCCGTCGTCCGTCGTCCGTCAGCGTCGTCAGTCGTCCATCGTCCGTCGTCCGTGGTCCGTCGTCCGTCGTCCGTCGTCTGTCGTCCGCCGTCCTCCGTCCATCGTCCGTCGTCATCGTCCGTCGTCGTCCGTCGTCGTCGTCATCGTCGTCATCAGCCGTCGTCGTCGTCGTCCGTCGTCGTCGTCGCCGTCGTCGACGTCCTCGTCGTTAGTCGTCGCCGGTCGTTCACGGTCAGTCGTCGCCCCTGCCATCGTCGTCTCATTCGGCCGTTCGCCGTTGGAGGTCAGTCGACAATCGTCAGTCCTCAGTCGTCGTCGCTCGTAAATCGTCGTCGCCGTCGGTCGTCAATCGTTGTCGACGATCGTCCTCAGCCGTCGTCGCCGACGCCGTCGTTGCCGCGGACAGAACGCCCTGGCGAAGGATCCAATCGTGTGCGAGTGTGTATGCCCCAATTGTGAATGTCTTTTCTGGTGGCGATCCCTTCTCCTCCTCCACACCTCCTTCTGCTCCTCTCCCTGCCGCCTCCTTCTCCTCCTCCTCGCCCTCGTCCTCCTCCTCCTCCTCCTCCTCCTCCTCCTCCTCCTCCTCTCCCCGCCTCCTCCTCCTCCGCCTCCTCCTCCTCTTCCTCCTTCCCCTTTCTTATCCCCCTCCTCCTCCTATTCCTCGCTCTCCCTCTCCTGCTCTTGCCCCATCCTCCCTATCCTCTTGCTACTTTCCTTGCGTCCCCCTCCTCCTCCTCCGCTTCCTCCTCGTTCTCCTCCTCCTCCTCTTCCTCGTTCTCCTCCTCCTCTTCCTCGTTCTCCCTGTCCTCCTCTCCCCCCTCTCCCCTATCCACCTGCTCACCTCCTCGTCTTCTTCTGCTCCGCATGCCTATTGCGAGGGGGCCCATGACGCACCCAAGGGGTCAGCATCCTCAGCGCAAAACGCCGTTCATCTTCAAAGCTTGGCCCCCGCCCGCCGGCAACTCCCGGGGGGCCTCTGGAGGATGAGAGACCCGGCGCCTTGACGGCTGGGGCCCGGACGCTGGGGTCGCGCAGGGCAACGACGAGGAGGCCCACAAAACACCCGAGGGGCCCACGTCCTAAACGCAGAACGCCGTTCCTTTTCAAAGTTCGGCGCTTGAGGGGGCTTCTGGAGGACGAGGCACAGCGGGAGGCGCCTTGACGGCCGGGACCCAGGGGTTGGGGTCACTCAGGGCACCGAGGAGGAGGCCCACAATGCATCCAAGGGGTTCACATCCTGAGCGCCGAACGCCGTTCATGTGAAATGCTTGGCTCCCGCCCGCTGGCAACTCCTCGGGGGCCTCTGGTGGAGGAAGCCCTGAGGGGCTGCGCCTTGACGGCTGGGGCCCAGAGGTTGGGGTCACACAGGACAACACGGAGGCCCACAAAGCACCCGAGGGGTCCACATCCCAAACGCAGAACGGCATTCATTTTCAACACTTGGCTCCCGCCCGCTGGCAACTCCTACGGGACCCCTGGAGGAAGAAACAGGGGGGCGCCTTGAAGGGTTGGGCGCAGGGGTTCGGGTCACACAGGGCAACGAGGAGAAGGCCCGCAAAGCACCCGAGGGGCTCACAACCTGAACGCAGAACGTCATTCATTTTCAAAGCTTGGCTCTCGCCCGCTGGCAACTCCTGGGGGGGCTCCTGGAGGAAACCCACAGGGAGGCGCCTTGACGGCTGGGGCCCAAGAGGCTGGGGTCACACAGGGCAACGAGGATGAGGCCAACAAAGCAACGAAACAGCGTGCTGGGCGGGGGAGAGGCATGTGGACACCGCCACTGGGGCCCCAGATGTAGCTCCCCATGGGGCCACGAAGCGCTGAACTGGGCGGGGGAACTGCAGACACCGCCACTGGGGCCTTCGGTCGAGGCACCTTTAGGCCACGAAGCGCTGTACTGGGTGGGGGGACCGCATGCGGACACCGCCACTGGGCCTTCGGTGGAGCTCCCTATGGGGCCACGGAAAGCTGTACCGGGTAGGGAAACATCATGCGGACACAGACATTGGGGCCTTCGGTGGAGCTCCCTATGGGGCCACGAAACGCTATAATAGGTGGGGGAACCGCCTCAGGTAGAGCTCCCTATGGGGCCACGAAGCGCTGCACTGGGTGGGGGGACCGCATGTCGAAACCCGCACTGGGGCCTTCGGTGGAGCTCCCTATGGGGCCACGAAGCGCTGTGCTGGGAGCAGGAGACGCATGTGGACCCCGCCACTGGGGCCTTCGGTGGAGCTCCCTATGGGGCCACGAAACGCTGTGCTTGGTGAGGGGGACGCATGTGGACACCACCACTGGGGCCTCAGATGTAGCTCCCCATGGGGCCACGAAGCGCTGAACTGGGCGGGGGAACCGCATGCGGACACCGACATTGGGGCCTTAGGTGGAGCTCCCTATGGGGCCACGAAGCGCTGTGCTGGGTGGGTGGGCGCATGTGGACATCGCCACTGTGGCCTTAGGTGGAGCTCCCCATGGAGCCACGAAACGCTGTGCTGGTTGGCGAGGGCGCATGTGGACACCGCCACTGGGGCCTCGGTGGAGCTCCCTATGGGACCACGAAGCGCTGTGCTGGGTGTGCCGGAACGCGTGGCGTTGATAGTGATGCTGACGGCGATGATGATGATGATGATGATGATGATGATGATGATGATGATGATGATGATGATGATGATGATGCTGATGATGATGCTGCTGATGCTGATGATGATGACGATGATGGTGAGTGTGACGGCGATGACGATGATGCTGATGATGATGCTGATGATGATGATGATGCTGATGCTGATGCTGATGCTGCTGATGATTATGCTGATGATGGCAATGATGGCGATGATGATGCTGATGATGATAATGATGCTGATGTTGATGATGGTGATGATGCTGATGATGATTAAGCTGATGATGATGCTGCTGCTGCTGATGATGATGGTGGTGATGCTGCTGATGATGATGACGATGATGATGGTGATGATGATGATGATGATAGAGGAGGAGGAAGAAGGGGGAGGGTGCTGATGGGAGGAGGGATGAG